ATATATATACAATAGAATTCTTGTGTATTTATCGATAACATTTATGTTTGGATATTGCATTTATGACACTTTTGTGCCATAAAGAATGAAAATCAAGAAGATACAACACCAAAGTATATAGCAGGATAAGGGAATATTGGAAAATAAAGAATTAATGATATTTTTTAGGCAATGTTAAAAATTCTCAGGTTTTGAATTTAAATGTGTAAATTTAGATGCAAGATATCTAAGTATAATATTTTCTATTTTTATTAAATTTATTGGTTTGATATTAAAAAAAAAAATCAAATGAATGTTACTTTTATAGTTTTATTTCGAATACATAAAACTATCCCATAAAAAATTATGTGATAGAAATTTAAATCACTCAAATAAATTACAATAATTTTTAAGATTTCCATATATTTAAATTTAACCATGCATGGTACTGATTATGAACGTCTGTTTTAGTTCATTATTGCGTGGCATGCACGCAAGGCTGCTGACTTCTTGAGTCTTGGTAGAAGAGTACGCCCGCTTCCAGTTTGCCGCAGCCCGCAGGGCTTATTGCCTTATTTGGTACATGCTCCAGCTATTATATTGTGTCGAGCCCAAATTGAAAATAAAATTTAGGCTATTTAACATCACATATCACATTAATAGATATTATTAATATAAAAGTAAAAATTGTTTTTAAACATCAACAGTCAACATATTTTTTGTCCCTTTTTACTATACTGATTCAAACAGTAGGAACGTCGCTCTGGACTGTAAGTTGGAGAAGTTCTCTGCAGTTTTCCCATTTGTCTTTATAAATAGCCCTCTCCCATATCCACATTATTTGCTCAAGTCAGATGACTAGTGGATAGAAACGAAACATAAAGAGAAGGGAAGCATAATCTTCTTTGTCAAACCAATAAATTTTAGGGATTTCTACATAAGTAGCACATGAAACAGTAATGGTTATGTACCTCGCACATAAACATTTCTATTTATGTATAAAACACATTTGGTTCTCCTTGGTTATCTTCTCCTGTCTCGCAACCGACATTGAAAACTGCTGACAATAACTCATGGGACGAGAGCATGCTGGCTTGCGGCTCCGGAGAGATGTGTCTCTGTTGAAATTTTATTAACTACAACCCAAATCATTCAATTTAAATATAAAACATCTAAAGCCATTTAGTATGCACCGACAAGCTCAACGGAAGCCCAGCTCTCCCCCTTGTCGTCGATGGAACCCACCAGCCTTCTCTCGTCCGATGCGTTATTGCCAACAACCTTAGAGGTACCGGAGAACACAAAAGATAGCGGTGGAGAACGAAAACTGCTTTTTATGTAAATAAAAATCTTTATGAGGTGCTATGTATGCAAAAACATCTAAATCTTAAATATAAATACTAATTCTAAGTTTTACGAATTAAGTGAGAGATCATGTTCTAAATTAACTCAATCATTCTTATTAATCAAAGTGTCACACAAAAATCCTTATTTTCTTTTAATGAATTTCTTCATTTTACATAAATATATATAT